TGTTGCTGGAATTCCAGCAGCGATGATACCACTCTGTTTCAAGGCTGTCTGGGGTAGCTGTTTGTTCTCGTTCCCCTCGTTAGCCATAATATGAATGTTGATAAGAACAGAGCCGCTCTCTGCTCCAGCCATGTAGGAGTTTCTGGTACAATTAAGGGGCGCTTAACTGACCAACTCGCTACACAAAAGCTGCAGCCTGGAATTCCTGAGATTGTAAAGCATCCGAAGTGAAGGGGAAAAACAGAACAGAAGAACAGGGGCAGGGGGAGATGTACCACCACACAAAGTTAACAAAAATGCAAATGTTACCAAGGCTGGAAAATTTCAAAGAGGCCTTCAATGAACAGAGTGATAACAGGTGAAATTTAGGCATAAGTAATGCACAGTGATGCACCCTAGAAAAAAAATCCCTGGAATTCTTCATGTACATCACTGAGTTCTGGCTAAAGTGCCAGCATGCAGGTAAGAGAACTGCCATCACTGTGGAGAGCTATATGAAATTTTTGTTCTATATATAGTGACAGAGAAGAAAGAAAGTGCTTGTTCATCATATTTGGTACAAAAGAGTGGCAAAGGTATCTCTAAACCCTCTTATCTCCTGAAGGTCATGATGATCCAGGCTAACCCAATTATGGATTTGAATAAATGTGGAAATCTCCAGAGACCTTGTAACTGCCATAGTTTTCTATAGCACTCAGTCTAGTGGTATCTGAGCAGAGACAGAAAACATATGCTGACTAGGGGGCCAGAAGTAATGAAATATTAACTTGATCCTGATGCAAATTACAGTAGTACAGCCTGTGAAGTAAAGGGCAGTAGTGGAAGATCGAGGCTGTTTGTCCATATCTAAACTAATATGCATCAAAGTAATGTCAACATCCCGCACTTATTTTTAAAATGAGGCTCACAATTGGCCTCGGATGCCTTTTCCTTACATTGCAGAGATTTAGGTTGCTCCCCATCATGTCCATTCTTCTTTATGAACACACTGAAGCTTGCTTGGGTCTTCATCTAGGATGAAGCTGTTTCATTTCTAGATCAAAAAAGATTACTATGATTTGTACTGTTAGATGGAAAGGCTCAACAGGATAGGAGATGGTGTTTGTCATGAATGTTTGTCGGCTCGGGGGCTGGAACGATGAAGCATTCATCCTTGAATGTAGGGAATGAAATAAAAAAATAAAACTTGATGAATGTTAAGTTTACTTCACTTTTTTGAACTATGTACCTGGAGAAAAATAGGTCATAAATATTCAGTGGAAGTAAGCTCAAAATGTGAGCTTGCTTTTTAGTGGAGCAGGCACAGCCTGACATCCTAGGTGTCAGGAAGATAATTAGGCCAAAGGGTTCACTAACACTCTTAAGTCAGGCCTCAAAAAGTAGTTTCCAGTGTGTCTTTTTACAACCAGACCTGCTGCCCTTGTCAGAACTGAGCATGTTATCATTAGCTTACCACCTCTTTAGCCTGTAAATTTAAGTCTCTGTTGAATGACAGAAGAATAGAAACAACACGACAATATTTGGCTTCTCATACAGTGGCAAAATCAAATGAAAGTAATCAGTGTAGGTCAGTATCATTCAGCAGAGCATGAGTTCAGCCCAGGCAGATATTTCTCATGCTGGAAATTTTTTATATCCATTTGAAAACTGATGGTTTTGTCCATTCCAGACCAAGTGTTTCTTTCTCTTCTCCACTGCCTCCAGCCCTAAAGTCCATCATGGGTCTTTTCCTCCTCACTGTGAAAGTTTGACCAAAGATGTTTTCTGGTAGCATAAAGGAGCCCGCAGTGCTGGCTCACTGCATTCTTTGCCTCTGGACAGATCAGAAATTTCATCATTAGTGTAAAAATGGGTTTTCATCAGCAGTTATTCTCAAATTCAGTTGATATGCAAGTTTAAGTTGTCTGCAAAGTCTCTGAAGTGCAAGAATATCATCTTGTCTCATTCTTTAAAATTAACCTTGCAAATAATCTCCTAAAATCTTCATTGTAGTCATGATAATTGCATATTGATTAGTAAAGCGTCCTAATCTAATCATCAGCCTAATGTACACAAGACCATCAAACACGGGACAATGCAGGCAGCCCACTCCTATGCTGATGAATTCAGCAGGTTTTTTGTGTGCTTGATGTATTTTTTTACACATAAATAAAGGTTTGGTTGCATTTGGGAGGAGGAAAAATGCTAATGAATATGTAGCAAATAGGAGTTTCCTGACCACTTTGCTGTTAATTTTTAAGCAATATAGCTCACAAATTCCTCAAATCAGTGCAAGATGATACATAAAGACATTTGTTGGACTTCACTCGCACTTTACTTTCCACCTGTGGTAGAATCATGAGATTAGTGTTCCAGGAACTGAGCTAAGAAAAGAAATAATCAAATGAAAATAAATTGGATTGGAGAATAATCTCTGGTTAATTGATTTCTTAGAAATAATGTGGGCCAAATCATTTTTGCTGTTACCTCAGCTTTAGGGATGAAACTGATTTCAATGCAATTATTCAGGAAGTACAGTTACACAGCCAAAAGACAAAGCAAGCCATCAGTTTCCCAAACACAAAGAACTAGCTTTTTAAAATTAACTCAATGTTTCCTTTCTGAGGTCTCCACTCATCTCACTGTAAACTGTGGTTAGTGAATTTTTAAATTAATTTTTAAAGTTCATTCATGAGGTGTGGATTTAGAAGCCTAGGTGCAAGCCTTTTTTCAGGAAATTCTGACTCTGCTTTCTAATCTGCCTTTCAGATATGACAAAATATTTACTTTCTATTAACAAGCAAGAATAAGCAGATTTATTCGAATTAGCAGGTAACTTTGCTGTGTTGTGTTTTAAAACAGACGGTACTTTGGTGAGAAAATTGGGCTGTACTTTGCCTGGTTAGGCTGGTACACGGGGATGCTCTTCCCAGCTGCCTTCATTGGATTGTTTGTCTTTTTGTATGGAGTCACCACTTTGAACCACTGCCAAGTCAGGTAACCTGGGCACTTTTATAAGGGAGCTCAGCTGTGGGTTATTATGAATAATTTAAGAGATCTTCATATGAATTGTTAATTATTTCATTTTGAACTGTTGAATGAATACTCAGGAAAAGGCTGTGCTTGGTTCTTGTAAGCTACCCAGTATCAAGCTTCCCTTGTTTTGTGCTCCTGAATTTGGATGGGAGGCAATGTTTCTTGCCCAGCTCCAGTTGCTAATGGTGATGGCAACTCAGCATGAAGTAAGGAGAAAGTAGGGCTTCTTCATTACTGTTGTAACAAGCCAGTAGAAGAGTGGGGAATTTTCACTCTCTTCAAGGCCTTTCCCAAAGATCCACTGCAGGGAGGCTTTCTTCAGATGAAGAACCCCCTGGACCTTCTGCTGAGTGCTGCACCTCTACGTTCTTGCACACTTAAGTCAGAAGAATAAGTCAAACTGAACTTTATCTGCAACTGTCCTCACCCTCTTCCTATCAAAGGTCACTTCTGACTCAAGGAGAAGCTGGAAATGGTAAAGAGATACTGCTAGGCTGGCCCTGAAGAACTGTCCTCTGCAATTATGACTGTAAACTCTGAAGTTTTAGACAGTCAACAAATATTAATTATACACATGCAGTTATGAACATCTTGGCTTCAGTTACAGTATTGCTCAATAAGAAACTGAATATTAGTGAAACTTACCAATCCATTTTAAGACCAATTGTTGTGCATCAAACTATTTTTATCTTTTCTATTTTTTCAGTAAAGAAGTCTGCCAAGCTACAGATATCATCATGTGTCCTATATGTGATAAATACTGTCCCTTCATGAGGTTGTCAGACAGCTGCGTTTATGCCAAGGTATATTTTAAACTATGCAAATAGAAATGCTTTCCTGGTAAAAGCATTAATTTTGCCTTTTGCGTTTTGTCTTTAGTGAGCTTGGGTAGATAAAATCTTGAAAGGACAGATCAAGTTCAGCCAAAATTAACGTTCGTTGTCTTTTACCAGGACTTAGTTTGGGTTGTAAAACACTTGAATGCAATTTGCACTTAGAGATTCAGCAGTCGCAGATGTTGTGTCCTAGATGCATGTGCTACAGTGTCCTTGGCATCAGCCTTTACCTTATGATCCATCCTTTGTACGTGGCTCTGTAAGATGAATCCTTTGGGTCTGAAATGATGCTCACACCTGGTGTTGGCAGGGGTCAGTCCCAGGCCACGCTGGCCAATGGTCCTGTCAATTGACAGGTGCATTTCACACATCAAGGGAAGGACCCTCAGGACTGTCAGGCCAGCTGCAGTCATGATCACATTAGTTTTATTAGGTGAAAATAGAAAATAAAGCCCTGTTATTATAAATTAATAACATTATTAATATATCCCTCAGGTAACCCACCTTTTTGACAACGGAGCTACTGTCTTCTTTGCTGTTTTCATGGCGGTGTGGGGTAAGTTTTTGTTTTGATATTAAGGAATTGCACAAACTTTTTCTTGAAGATTGTGATGCAACATAGGCCTTTGTAATTTCCAGCACAGCTTTTTCAGACACTGAGAAAAGCAATACAGGCTTGATTCTTTTCTGTTTCTGCAAAAGGAAGATGGAAGTCGTTGAAATCAGTTTTTTATGTGATAATAATTTTAATTAAAATAGAAACATGTATGCCGTATGTAGTGTCTATGTAGATAGTTATATTCGGGGCGGGGGGTGTAATTGTTTTTCAATCTGTTGGCACTAAGGCCTTTTGTCTGTTACTGTTCGGGGCTTCTCTTAGCTCAGGGCAGCTCAGTTTAGTGTCTGTAGTAAAATGAATTAACATATTGTTTTTCCCACCTTGCAGAAAGGCAGGAAAGCTTAAATACATGTAAGCTGATTGTAATTAAAGCAAAACTCTGATGAAATAAATGGAAGATTTATTTGAATGACTAATTGATCCAAGAGTGGTCTAACTGTTGCCATGGAGGCTGAATTTTGCCCATAGGACAGTTCTATTTCTGGCTCAGCTGTTTCTCCTGCTGTGGTCTTGTAGGCAGAATTGAAGGCAAGAGGAAACAATAATTTCTGGCAGCATAAAAAGTCTTTCAAACATTCCCTGACCATGCCCAGGCTCTTAGCTGCTACCATTCCATTCTGAGACAAGGTTAACACCTTTAGAAAACGGCTCAATGAGGTGCCTCAAAAATGGCACCCATCTCACAGCTCCGGGTGCTTGAGCTATCCTGATTGTTCTCCTGTTCTTACTCACACATCTCCAGCTGCTTTGGAAAGGTGTCCAAATAATTCTTATAATCTCCATTTTAAACTGCAAATCTCTTTACTGAGCCACAAGAGATATCCAGGAGCCAACATCAAAGCCATCAGGACACCACAGATTAGCCTACCAGTCTGCCTCAGTTTCTTCCTCCAAAACTATGTTTTTGTCTTAGTCAACTAATTAAATTAGGCCATACAGGCCAATCAAGCCTATTCATGCCATTTCAGGTAATATTGACGGTATTAAAAAATCACAAATTACATTAACAAAAAATCCACAGATTGTACAGATTTTCTGTTTCTCCTTGGTATTTCAAGCTTTGGCTTAGAGCTACACCAGAGCTGAGAATCAGCAAAAATTTCTAAGCCTTAAAGATTTTTTTAGAAGTTTACTCAGCTTTTCCAACCTCTTTCTCTGTGTGCTCACTGAAGTTGAGAATTTCCAAAACAGTTTAGAGGCAGGGATTTCCATCTCAGCTAGGAAAATTGATGGGTTAACATTACTGAACATTTATGTCACTTTTCCTAACTGCTGGTGAGCATGCCTTTGGAATGCAGCTATTTGCACCAGTGCTTTTGTTCCTCCATAACAGTAACACTGCTTTCAGGAAACAGCTGTGCTCACAGCTTTGCACCTGTGTCTTAGCACTGCCCAGAACCAGAGCTGTAGGAAAAGCAGCTCTAGGTAAGGGGGAGTTCCTCACTCAGGTAACCATGCCTGGTCCTGCCTTGTGGTTGCTACCTGAGAGAAGGCTGAGCAGGCTGAGCATGCCTGCCTACAAAATGTTGTATGTCCTCTCTCTTTCCTGTCCCTAGTTGACGGGAGCTGCACCTCACTTTAGTTAGCTTCTCCTTCCTTCCCATCCTTCAGCATCACTGTCAGACTCCCAGACCCAGTTCCCTCTGGGGATATCTCCCCACCAGCCTGCCAGGATGGGGAAATGCACTGCCCACCCGTGCATCTCCAGCACCTAAGCCCACAGAGACATAAGAAAAAATATAATAAATGCTGCCCTCTGGATGATTCGGCTAGTGGAGAAGAGACTGTAGGACAGTGGCTGGGGTGAGAGCTTTCCCCACCACTTTTGCTGGCTTACACTGTGCTTGTGAGCTTGCCACCAAGAGGGATGTAGGGGCAGCAACAGGAAGGAGGTTGTGAATGTAGGGTAATGGTTTGGAGAATGAGGTGATCCTACGGCTCCACCCAAACTGCAGTTTCTTAAATAAGACTTTGCTGAGACAACAGTGAGATTGTGGGGATATTTTCCATACAGTTAGGGCTAAAGCAGCATTAGAAGGAGGAAAGCCACACTTCCTAGGGTTTTTCTAGTACTGTATTTATGAGTTGGCTTACCGCCTGTCTTAAATGGATTTTGAGTCTGCAGTAGGCCTATTGGCAGCTGCAGGCATTACCATCATCTGACTAAATCGTAGGGGAAGAGAAGAAACAATGATAGCAGTTTGATTGTGGAAATGTTCTTTCTGTCAGCATGAAACAACTGGCAAGTGCAGGACAAATTGGCTGTGAAAAGTTCAGCCTTCTGGATGATCCAGTTTGACAGATGCTAGCACACAAAATAATGATGGCAGTGCTTTTAAAAAAAGAGAATGAAAGCAAAAAAAGGCAGCTAGAATTGTGTTACCTCTTTAGTCTGCGCTTAGCCACTGTCTTATTATCTAAACTACCTTCTTCACTGTCTTTAGAGCCATTAGTGAACTCCCATCTTGAGGGAGAAGCTTCAGCCATTTGCTTGGGGTCAGGTTGGGCTTTCCATGAAGAGGTGATCTGTATGGTGACTTCCTCCTTTTACTCTAAACACATATTTAATTGATGTACAAAGCGGGTTGCTCACTTTTTAAATAGAAATAAAATGCTTCTCCACATGATGAGCAAACGGCTGTGGCCAGGGTAGGGAGAGGAATTACCATGACAAATATCAGTATGGGCTGCTTGATTTGTGGAGCAGCAATGAGCCTGGCTGTAAGACTCTGAAGCACAGGGATCCATCTTTTACAATGCTTCATTGTGAGATAAGTGGGTCCCATCAAAGTAAGGTTGGAATTGTCAAGTGCACCACGAGATACTGGAATAGAAACACACTTTACTTCAAAAATTGCATTGACCCATCACCTCACTTACTCTATTTCTGCCCTGTTTAAGCAAAGTTCTATATAAGAAGTAAAAGTAATTGATATAATAGGAAAAAATATGGTACTTACTAAGGTATACACAAAAGACATAAGACTTAAGACAACTTTAATTTTAAACTGATGTAGCAAAGGACGCTGAAGGAATTCATTGGTACTTTGTATAAGCTTTTCTGTATTGGAACTTCTGTTGAAAGGAAAAACCCTTTCAAAAGGATTGAAACTATAAATCTCTGTGCTTTATAGGAAACAGTAATTCCCTATAAACACTATTACATTTTTATTGGTGAACAGATTGTTGCTGATGCTCACTGAGATGTCATCATCTCAGAAGCTGGAAAAGAATTTTTCCTTTTGAGAATCTCTAGTCCTGATGATATTTTCCAGATGTTCAAAGCTTTCAAAAAGAGGGGAGCAATAGCATTTTTTGTGTTTCTGTGCTAGAGGGAAACACCTACACTTTGCCCTTTATGGGTGCCTTGAGATATGTCAAGTTGGATGAAAAGGTAGGTCCCATTTCTAGGAAAAACTCTTCTCTTTTTCCTGTCTGAATTGGATACTTAACAAAGACAGAAAATGAGAGAAAGATGTTCATTCTAAATAAATGTTGACATTTAAAGTGCAAAAAAAATTCATTCTCAGAAAAAAAAAATCTAGGTAAATTTGATAATCAGTTGACTCCCAGCATGTTGCTGTAAAGCCAGATGGAATTGTAGATTTTGCTTTTCCAGATGAAGTACTGGGGAAAGCTAGTACAAAGATGTCACTGTCCAGATGTTTCCTGAAGCTCAGTAGCAAAGTTCTGTAACTGTCCAACAGGAGAGTCCAGCTATTTATCATTTCTAATGCTTTGCTAGAGACAAGGTGGGCTGATGGTAGTTTCTCTGTGTCCACGTATCTTTGGGGGTCTAAGGAACACAAGAAAAGTCCTTTTTGAATTTATTCTTGTCTATCTAGAAGCATGTTTCCTTTGATAAAGGAAGTAGCTTTAGAACACTTGCTGAAAGGCAAAGTTGGGAGGGGAAAAAAGGCCTGGCATGAAGAATTTAACTTTTTTCAAGGAACAAGAAATGCCAACATAAAACATTTTTTTCTAAATGTATCAATTAGTCTAATAAAAGATACTACTTTCCTACAAACCTTGCCTCTAGCATAAAACATTCACATTGATCTGCTCTCTGAGGAGACAGAATTTAAGGAGGTTCTTCAGCAATATTCCTGGTATATAGAATATATTCCAGAAGTCAGGATGGATATATTAAATGATGTTCTGAAATACAATAGGGAGAGGATTTCTGAGAGAAGGTCAGGATTAAGCTATTTGCTGCAAGACACTATTTGCATTACTAGAGAAGATCACCACTTGTTTCAAAAGCATCGGAGGAAATGATGTTAAGACAGCTGTTCATACAAATGGATGTTGAGGACTGAGCTGCAAGGTTGAGCAGGGCAAGCATAGTACAGAAAAAGCTAGCAAAAGACCTGGGAGTTAAGGCCAAAGAGAAATTCAAAATTCCAAGCAGGATTTTTGGAGATTTCTCAGCATCTCGTTTAAACATACCAATTGGAAAATGGGAGAACGATAAGTACAACTATGTCCTGTTGAGCTGTCAAAGTCAGAAAAGAATGCTGAAGTGTGATATAGGGTATTAGTGATTACTTGACTAGAAAAGAAGCAGAGAAATTTCAAAATGCAGTACTTTTTAGAAGACCTCAGTAGTACAGTGAATCAATCAAAGATGGTTATTTATAGCACATTTTAAAATATCTAGCAAGGGAAAAGTGCATACTGACCTGGATAGAGGGAGAAAAGTGTAGCACAGTAAAAGCTAAAACAGTGCTGTGCAGATCATCCTATTTGCTACTTAATGATTTGAAAATAGCTTTCTAAAGAAGTTTCAGGAACTGCACATACTTACTCTGACAGGTGCTAAATATACTAAATATAATATGTATAGATTCCTCACTCCAGGTGTGTGAAAAACAAGAAAGAAAAGAAGTACAGTTCAGCACAGACATATGTGAAAGGTTCATGCCTGTAGACTCATGCGCCCACTCAAGTCCTGCTTCCAGCTGCTTTTTGGAATGGAAACAGAGTGGTAGTAATCAATCAGGTTTGTTTCTCCCAGGTCTCCAAAAAGTGCAGGGCTACTTGTTTAGCCTGTGCGAAATAATTCAATATGAGCTGATAGGGGAGAAGCAGCTCCACCAGAAGACAAATCAAGGAATGAACAATGTGGTGGTTCAGCAGCAGCAGAAACTTATTAGCACTTAGTAGCTTTGCTGATCCCAACCAGTCATACTGCAATTATTACAAGAAGTCTATTTTTGTCTATTTCTATTACATAGAAACTTCAGGGTCAGGAGATTGAATTGACTTACTTTATTAGATTAAATCAAAGCACCTGGTTACCTGGTGCAACACAACTCCAGCTTTCAGAAAAAAAGATGACATGATATATGAAAACACCTCCAAACCAAATAGCTGCCTTCCTAAACTTGCTTTTGATATCTTACCTTATCTGCTCGCAGTGTTCATTTTCTAAGCATATTTTAGCTGCATTGGCTAATACATTGAAATAGAATAATTCTTACTGGCTAAAAATTCACTTTCACTGAACTGATGTTAGTGCTTAGTATAATGTCACGTCATTATCAATACGCTGCAGTAGGGCAGATAGTCCATGCTTTTAGGACTGGACGTGGAACACATTGCCAGGCTATTGTGACACTGTTACAGCTGATATTATGCTAGCTCATGAACAAAGAGGTTTATATTATCTGTGGTTATCAGCCTGATGCTTTTCAGTGAGCAATAAAGGGAAGAGCCAAACCTCACAGTGGGAGAGGAAGCCTTTCCATTGGTTTGTGTTAGCTTTAGGCAGCTTCTACATTCTTTTAACAAAACAAATTAAAAAAAACTGTAACCATAAATAGGCTTAGTGTTAATCTCCAGAATATTAACATATTATTTTATGACTGCTTCCTTGATTGTTCTTTCCATCACAAAATGGAAGCACAGTCATGTACAGGCATATTACGCTGTCTTGAACTCTGTCAATAAGGGCTGTACAGCACAGAATATTTGTCAGATGCTAATGCCACACCACATATACACTCCCATGTAGTGTAAAAGAAAGGGTCTGGATTAGAAAAGTGTAAGACAAAAGTTCCCATTTCCTCAGTAGTACTCTACAGATTTGCACATCACTGGAATGTTCTTCCTCTGGGTTCTGGTTTGTGTCTATTGTAAATGGTCTTCAAAGAAGTAAAGTTACTACTTTATCTACAGGAGCCCCAAGAAACCTGTAGCTTCATCAGAAATCTGCTATGTCTAGTAATGATGACTCACAGGAACAATTTTATTCTTTGAGAGTCTTCCCTTGGCTGGTTAGAAATTAAACACTCTTATTTAGCACTAAATGAAATATCTAAAGCCTCAATCATACTTGTAGCAAGCAAAGTAATCTTTAGAAAGCAATGCTTTTTGAAAGCAGTTTTGATCATCAGCATGATTTGCTGTTCAAAGGAACCCATTTAAGCAAAGAAATGAAAATAATGTAACAGCTTTATTCAAAAGTTCTGTGATAGTAGTTAACATTTTCTTGACTTAAAAACAATTTTGTGGGTTTTTTTCTATTTGCTCTAGCAACTGTTTTTCTGGAATTTTGGAAAAGAAGGCGAGCAGTAATTGCTTATGACTGGGACTTGATAGACTGGGAAGAAGAAGAGGTTTGTATAAAAAAAATGTGCTCCTGAATGTTTAATACAAAAATATTTGGTTAAAACGGTAAGCATGTTTTTCTTTTGGATTTATTTTCAATTCATTCTTCAAGTCTTCATAAACTGGGAAATAAGCATTTTTCTCCTCAGATGTTTCCTCTGGAATGTGAAGAAACTTTCCCCAGGCCAAACTGTCCTCTCTTTTTACACCTTTGTAAATCTAAATCAATTTCAATGTATCAGTGGCTGTCGTTGTGAGAGATTTCAGGAAAAAAATGCACTTTGGGGGAAGCTAACAAATTTTGCTTTTGAATCCAAGGAAATTCTTGACAGTACCATGAATTTTAGCAAATGAGCTTTTATCTATCCTTTTAGATAGACACTAAGAATATTGATGGAGAGAAAGCCTTGTGAGGCTTGTACCAGCTTCTGAACATTCAGGTGCTGGTTATCTAAGTATACAGTGCTGCAGAGAGACTGAGGGAGGTGAACCGACTCAAAGGACTTAATTCGTCCTCTGTTGGTAGAGAAAATCCCCTTAGGGAGGAAACTAAACAGCAAAAAATAGCCTTAACCTTTTTCTGTGGTGGTTACCAGAAAGAAACAACATGCTCTTGGGACTGAGAGCTGAGCAATAAGTGGAACTCAAAGGTTTTCATTATGAAGGAGAAAGCCAAGATTCAGTGGGTGTGGCAGAAAAAGTGCTCCTCGAGTGGGATTTGGACATATAGCTGTCCACAGAGTCTGCTCTCCTTCCTCTCCAGCGACTGTCCTGAAGCACTTGGAGGGACTGTAAGAGGCTGCTGTAGTGGTCTCAATGCAGTTGAACTTCTATATTGCTGCCTCTGCGGAAGAATTTCTTTTTCATTAATCTCGCCAGCAGAGAAAGAGAATTCTGAGTTACAGGATTTTTGTCTCTATGAGGCAATGTAGTTCAATGAGGCCATGAAATGGTACAATTGCTCATTTGCTGGTAGGATTTTTTTTAAATGCTTAATGACTAAGAAAATAATCCAAGAACATAAAATGAAATAACTTACACAACTGGAAATTGGTTTCTTTATAACAATAGGAACATTCATTATTTGTGTACATATGCTGTCAATTCTTGGTGATACTTCAGGACTGTTGTCATATATTTAGAAAATACTCTAATACTTATTTAACTCTCCTGCAATTAGCAACCTCGTCTTGCCAATGCTGACAAGTCATAGAGAGACGACACTGAGATAGTCCTGCCTGAGGTTCAAATATTGGTCAGGAGTGACCTACAGTGATCATGTCCCCTCATGACTAGTTGCAAAAAAGCCACTGCTGCAGTTGACAGCTAAGGCAAAAGACAGATGTATCAAATTGCAATTTCCAAGTCAGGATTATAGCTCAGTGTCCCCAGAATGAGAAGTAGCCTTTAAATTAACAAAATACACATGCAAGTACAGTGTGAGGCCCTTTTTATGGTTTTCCCAGGAAGCCTGGTCTATAGATGTTTATAGTTTGGGATCTTACGTATCTGCACCTTTCACCATTTAACATACCTGGATTTGGGATTATGCTGATTTATAAAGCCACCCACCTGACTCTTCTATGATCAGTTCATTTACAAATACTGAATTTCCTGGTAAGGTTGTCCTTAGGTGGTGCCTTGCTTTTTTTTTCCATGTAATAATACTAAGTGATTTCTGGCTGGTGTGGTAATGCTTGGAGGAGTCTTTTGCTCAGATGTGAGCACAATAGCTCCAAGCCCATTCAGGACCACTCCCCATTCTGTTTCCCTCTCCTGTTTATGCACATGCCCAAACTCTGCTTATAACATCAGTATGGTTTCTCCTGTGAGTAAAGAATTGGAATGATCCATGTTTGAGAAGCAGGAAGGAAGGAGAACGGTCTGTTTTATGTAGATTGAGAAAGACACATCCTGTGGAGTTTGATCATGAAGTTCTATATGTCAGTGAGATGTCAGTGAGACCTTTGTCTCCATAAGGTGAAAATTTTACTCCTAAAAGTGCTGCTTTCTAATAAAATCACTGCTAATTAAATTTCCTCTCTATATTCCATTCAGTTATCACTGGACAAAATCAGCTGATTTCTTTTATTAGCTATATCAAAGAAATCAATTAAAGAGTTCTAATTACCATTTTAAGTCACAAGCTTCTGTTAATGAAGATTGTTATTTTTATTAACATTATCTGCCACGTCTAGCTTTTGCTTGCTTTAATTTTCATTATCAAATTGAAAAATAAGGTTTTGCTACAGAGGGAAATTTATTAATTCCTACCAACAATAGACTGAAAAAAAAACCATTTATAGGCTTCCTATCACTTTGTTATCACTTTTCTCTTCTAAATGAAGAGACAAAGAAATGAAACAATGAAGATGATGGGAAGGAGAATTAAATTTGTTCAGATATGCAACCTTGTGAATTCCTCACCACTTTAGATTTTCACCCAAGAAAGGCATGCAGCAGCCCCTGCAGTGTCCAGGTCCCTCCCACCCCCCCAGCCTGGGGACATGGGCTGAATGTGTTCTGGCTCTTTCAGCCCTGCATATCTGGATTTCCTTTTCTTGTAAATGCAGTGCAAGGTGGGAGACATGGAGAGTAACTGGGCCTTGGCTTGGTGTGCAACAAGAAACCAACTGTGCAGAGTCCTGGCACTCCTAGCTGATATATGGCTTCTGTTGCTATTTACAGTGTACTTTTTTCTTTTTCTTCAGTGTCACTTTCTTTATATCATTAACCTCAGCCAGATACAGTACTGTTTACTGCCTGCCCCAAGCTGTGATCAGCATTGCTGAGTGTAAACAGGTACGAAGGTTCATGCCAGAGTTTCAGTTTTGTGTGGAGACATATCTGTAAAAACAGCATTTGCATTATCTGAATTGACCGGAGGTCATAGGAGATGCCTAGATTCATGGACAGGTGGTTAGGATAAGGACTTCCTTATAGTGCAGATTGTAAAATTTAATCAAATCTTGGCTTAGAGAGAGCTGCAGAGAAGAAAGGGTTTCTTGTCTATGACTCGGTAAGTCAGCTGGCAGAGTCCTTGCACAATCTACAGGGTGCAATTCTCAAGCGCTCTGCTTCAATGCTATCACACTCTGTCCTTTTGCACGTTCCTGGGCACATGGGAATGCTGCTTGCATTGTTTCTCTTGCTAGATTATGGTCTGCTCAGCAGCCTTCAGCCCTGATACAGCAGGAACAGCTTGAGCAAGGTAGAATAAGAGCAAGGTGTTACCCTGCCTCTGCAGAAGCATGCTTAGCCTTTGTATATAGCTAATGTAGGGCTCGTTCCCTCAAGCACATAATTAGTTACACAGGCATTGCAGCTGAGCATACATGCCTCTTAATGTTTTTTAATACCATGTTAGCAGGTTGCTGCTTGAATTTGGAAATTAACAGTATTGAGAAAGTGCCTTCAAAATTTGAAAGAATGAGAATGACACATGACTTTTTTTCCCAGGGGAATTTTATAAAAAGGATGTAGGTTTTTAGGATATCTTATTTTTAGTTACATTCTAAAGGCTTGTATGAGCAGTTAACATTCACCTATTTCAATGCAGTCATTTGAGGTCCGGTCATTTACAATTTTCAGTCAGTCAAAGTTCAATTAAATGCATTTGAAGAGTTGGAAGCGACTGAAATTGCTATGCTGGGTTCTTGGCTGTTACAAAGAAATGCACAGCAGAGGTCTGGTGGAAAAGCTGCAAAGACAGTCCATAGCTGCCTTTGTGCTCCCTTGTAGCCAGCTGTATGATGGGCCAGTTCTCCAGTAGGCATCATAGCATTGTAAAACTTGATCTAATGTATATGGACTGCCAGCAGCTGTGAGAGTCCATCTTCACAGCCTGGTGCTTTCTCTGATCTCTGACAGCATCCCTGATGTCAGACTTGGGTAAGGTGGCACAGGACATGTGGCTGTTGGTGAACCTCCCGGATGGCAGGGCAGCCCCACTGCAGCTGAAAACCGTGAGGTCTTACCCGAACTAAGCATGAACTCTGTCTTCTGACAAGGCTGTAAACAGATGTAACCAAGTCTCTCCCCAAGAAATCCCCAGGTTTCTTTTCAGAAGAGAGTTTTTATGGCAAAGCAGGACTTGCCATTTCTGCTGCTGGAAGCTGTTCCTGCTAATAATATTATATACGATATGAAGGAATTGAGCAATATTAGATGGCATGGGTCCTTCTTCAAATGCTAAGAAACTCTTGCTGATAACGGGAAGGTAACCAATTACCTAGCAAACTGCATTTGGGTTTGGAAAAAGGAGGGTGGGGTTTTTTTTCCTTTTGCTTTGTTGTAGAATTCCAGTATCAATAGGATAATACCAGGCTGAAAAATTCTGTGGTATCAACCTTAAAATGATTTGGCTTACAGCCATATAGTTTGAAAGAACATTGTTTAGATAAGTAGGTAATTGGGGAGTTTAGTAAATACTTCCAGTATGGTTTTGTGGGTACAGTGATTTATTCTAGTTCTCATGAAGGAGACCTGATTTCCCAGCTCAGCTTTTACTGTAGCTGGGCCAGCTGCTAAATTCAAAGATGTAATTCCCAATAACAGTGATCTGATAAATGATCTGAAGTTTCCTACAGAATCTTTCCTAGCTGTGCTGTATGTGAACATTGTCTGTCTGTTCTTTAGGAGGAAATACGCCCGCAGTTTGAAGCCAAGTACTCCAAGAAAGAACGAATGAACCCCATATCCGGGAAGCCAGAGCCTTATCAAGCATTTGCAGATAAATGCAGCAGACTCATTGTTTCTGCATCTGGAATATTTTTTATGGTTTGAGAACTTTTATTTATTTACCAGTTGAAAAAATGCAAGATAACATTATCTCTGCTGAGAGAGTATGGAGATATTGGATATGACTGTTTGAAAGTGAAATGAGCTCTAGCATGTTTACTGCAGACTGGAAATATGTACACAACAAATAGCCTGAGTTTCTGTAAAGTCCTACACTGGTTTACTCTTGACCAAGTCTCACAGATAGTTAAGTCCTTTCTTCAAGGCTATACACATAAGGCTACATGTAGTGACACACATACCGGAATAGTGACGCTACCATGTTTAGGCACCAACTTCAGCTGACTGAACTAGCTCGCTGATTTTCTTGCCTTCCCTGTGTAGACAGTGCAGAGTGATGGGGAGAGATGTCATGGAAGAGGCAGTTATTCCTTGTAAACTGTACAGAGAACCTAACTAAGGTGCTTAGAGTGCTTAATGGTGTTAATATGTCCTGGTTTTTCAGTGTATTGAGGAGGTAAGGAAAGAGGGTTCATATTCCTAGTGCAACTGAAATGGAGAAACCGATGCTCCTTGCCTAAAATGAGGCATCTCTCCCCCTTCCAAAGTGCAAAACTAAATGCAGTAGCAAAATCTCTCCTAACAGAGAGCTGCGTGCATTTCTGCTGAAATGCCCCCATCACCTAACTTCACTGAATCTGTTATTCACTGTTATTCATATGACAACAGCAGTGGTAGGACTGACCTTGAAAACACAGCTGGCATCAACTCAGACCCTCATGGAATTTACTGGGGCTTTTCCCAGAGGCTAAAAAAATTATATATGTGTAAAACTTCAGGAGCTGTGCAGAGCCAGGTGGGTGAGCTAGCTCAGCAACTTTGTGTTTGAATGAGATGGGAGGGAATAGGGCAGGGGGTTTGTAAGAAACTGATGGCTTCAAAGTTGTCCAAAGCAATCGTGGACAAGAAAGGCAAGAGCATTATTGAGATGAACCGTGCTCTGGTATGTCAGGTGGATGCACAGAGACACATAGAGAAACACTGAGCACAAGGAGCCAATGTACTATCTGACTCAGCCCTTGAAGACACTTATATCTGCTCAGGACTGCAGTCTCTGCTCAGAATTGATTGTAAACCTGCAACATTTTGCATTTTCCCTACATTTTTTTCTTGAAGGGGGGACAGTTTTCACTCCCTACCCTTTGCAAAGGCAGTCGTTAATCTTAGCCTAGTGATAGATCTTGCTCCAAGTGTCAGAGAGAGTAGCCTTGCTCTAAATTGCATGCACCACAAATTGTCCCCATAACAGTCCTTGAAACAGGACCAGGATTATTTTCACTGAAGATATTTTTTATTGCTGGCATAGTGTGAGCTTCCAATGTGTTAGAAAAAACTCTGAATTTTTCCCCATTTAGGTAAAATTATGCCTTAAAAATTATAGCTTTAAGCACAGGGGATACACACTTATCAAAACTTTGAGTTGGAGCGGTTCTCAAAATTTCACAGCATTGACTCTCACAGTGCAGTTACTAATAGAAATTGAACCAGGTTAGTGATTCCCTGTCAACAAAGGAAAGTGGTCCTTCTTCCCCTCAACACTATGCAGGGAATCCAGAGGTAATTCTCTAGCTCAAAAACTTTGTAATGTTTCTATGCGCTGCCAGTGTGGTATCAGTGGATCTAGAAAACTAGCCCTTCACATTCACACACACTTAACTTTTATTTTTCATCTGCATTGGGAGTATGTCAATCAATTCAGTAACTAATAAAATATGAAAACAACTTGGTTAGCTTTCAGTGTTTTCAAAATCATTTTGCCCATTCAATTAGCTTAGATATACTTCAATTTTGATAGGTTTAAGCTGTCTATGCATAACCTTCAAATACACTTATCTTTTGCAAATAATCATGTCTTCTACTGAAGAAACTCTCCCTCCTTGTCTAATAAGGTGTTTAATGGGTGCTGTGTCAAAGTTTCTATGAGATGAGTCACCCATGCTAATTCCCAACTGTTTGTCCTTTAGGTGGCTTGCTAAACTGTGACATAAATCAGTCACAATGGAAAACAGTTGTCATTTAGCGCTCAACTGTTGCATATGGAACATCAAGTGATTTAGCAGCCTGGCTCAGCTGCATGGCTTTCACATTATAACTATCACATTTGCTGAAAGTCTCATCAGAGAAAAAAATTACAAGGGCAGTTGAATTTGTTACCTTCCCTAGGTAGAATCTTTCCAGATCTGTAGCAAGAAACAGCTTGCTAGGGTAGCTTGCCAGGGTTGTTGAGGTAGTACTTACAAATAGATACATTTTTTCCTGTGAGTGTGAGGTCCATCAAAGCACAAAATCCATTCCAAATATGACCCCATCAAGCTGGGACATCAGCCTGAGACTAGCCTTTGCACATTGGAGAACATGCACGTAAGGAAAATTTCTAATTCCCAGAGCTGGCAACACTGTTTCCCACATTAATGCTAAGGAAGAGATACATTTTCAAGAAAATGTTTAAAACTAAAGATTGTATTAATATGATTTCAAAGGTATATTGCATTATGGAAAATAAAAAGGACTTCGCAATAAGAAGAATATTCATGTTGAAACCTTTCTCTGGAATCAAAATGGGTGTATTTTTCAAGTCTTTCATTTCATTGTTTTAGTTTTCAGAGTTTTGGGGAGAAGATGACTCCTGTTCTATTGAAAGTTTTCAGGTTCTTCTCTCTGATTTTTTCTTCCTTTAGATCTGTGTGGTGATTGCTGCTGTTTTTGGCATTGTTATTTACCGTGTTGTGACTGTCAGCACTTTTGCTGCCTTTAAGTGGGCTTTAATCAGGAATAACTCTCAGGTTGCAACTACAGGGACTGCAGTGTGCATCAACTTTTGCATCATCATGCTACTGAATGTGGTGAGTAAAACTAAGACATCCAAAGTTATACCCAAGCCATCAGATCAGTAGATATCTCAGTCTGCAGACCACCAAATGGTTTTGGTTCCTTTTTCAGCAGTAATGGAATGTCTTGCGAAGCCAGACATGGCATTATTATTTACGGACATCATTCACTATTTATGTAAAGTACAATTCCAAACCGAAAACATTATTTAAAGCTTGTTTGAATGTTCTAAAAAATATTCTAGGGAGACATGTCTGTAGTCCTGTTTTATCCTCTGCCTCTTTTTTTTCCTTTCATATGTTTGCAGGTTTCAGTCCATTTCATTAATATTCTTCTTTTAAATTAGTGTTTTGATGTTGTTTTTTAAATACAGTGGTCAGGCTTAATTCTTATTTATACTAGTTTCAGTAATTCTAGCTTCAGTTTTCACAGTAGTTTACCAGTGAGGATATGCATATACAGACACAATGTCCATATGCAGGAGAACTCCCTTGGGCTGAAAACTTGAGGAGACTTGTGCAGACATGACTTGTTCTGTGAGCTGCCTGTGGCCCTTGCCAGGGTACACCAGAGACATGGTCCAGGTGCATTGCAGGGGGTCTGGCTGAGGCCAGGTTATTGTTGTGAACTGGTTTGGAACCAGACTTGGGACAAAGACAAAAATGGAATTTCTATGTGGTAACAGCCCCAGTAAGGCAATATAGCATAGATTAGATGGGGAATGAGTTTCATCCTTCCATCGAGGTGCAGGTACTTCCATATATTGCTGTGATAGCAATATGTCTTCTATTAGTTGCTCTTGGCAAGAGGTGCATGGCCTTTTGCCATCAAGTTCTTGTCAGCTGACATTATAAGAATGCATTTTAAGGGGGAGGAGGGATCAACCTACAAACCATCGAGGTACTGGAGCCAGGGTGGAGTATCTCTACCTACTCAGTAGCAAGTGTCTTCTGCAAAAAGCACGTTAGGCTTTGCTCCAGGATATATGCTGACTTACTTCCTAGGGGAAGTATAGGATGTTATTTCAGGCCTGCACATTCCAAGTGCTGGTTTGGAGATGACTTTCTTTCCTGTGCAATACCCAAGCATTTCAATCATCTAAAAAATAATTTTAACAGCCCCTTGTTTATATAGCAGGAAGTTCCAAGGGGCTTTGCTGCAGGACTTCACTTCTCCCTTTGGCATAGGCAAGACTGGATTGGTGACTAGGACAGTCTATCAAGAACTGTTGACTCTCCTATGTTTTCCCCAAGGTGGAACTATAGGTTGAGAAAGGGCAGAAAGAAGAGGTGGAAGCTGTTATTCTCTCTGAATTTGTACTGAGGGCTCTCTTATGTTATTTTTGATTTATTCTTTGTTGTCTGCAGCTTTTGGGGGTTTTCTTTAATCTGCCTAGAGCACACGATAGCGTAGAAGAAATAAAAAGAAAACTATATATATCTATGTCAGTAAAACATCCATTTCTAGGCTCTCAGTATAACTCACTGTATACGCAGTGAAGCAGCAACAAAGAAATACTGCACAAACAAAATTATTTGGTTCTCAAGGAGTTTTACAGCTTAGAGAAATTTTTAAAATAATGGAAGATGGCTTGAAGGTGCCTTTTGAGAAACTTTGGTTTACTTTCCAAAATACATCAAATAAATAGAGCACTGCAAAGATGGATTTCTTAAGCCTTATACTCATTACCATGCAGTAAACACCACAGCCTTAGATCTGGATATAGCTCATGGAAACAAAAGATCCCCAAAATATGAAACTGCATAAGCTTTTCAAAAGAAGGACTTAAGAACATAATCCCTCACTTCCCATGATGGATAATGTAGTTTGCTGAAGGACAGCAGGGGAATTTCTTTGGGGGGGGGGGGGGGGGGGGGGGTACCCACGCGACGA